GGTAAATATGCAGTAAATGTTCTTTATTTAGGTATAGTTACAATTATTTGTTTATGAAAGGTATATTTGTAATATTTTCAATTTCATGTAGGAGACTTAAAAATTTCCCATAAAGATATGATGGGTTTCGGCCCACTTAGCCGGGTTGTTGTGGATCCGAGCCTATATCGTAAGGAAAATCGGCCCGTTTTCTACGCTGCAGAAACTAGAGAAGAGCCTAATGCATTTCAGATTTTTGGAGGTTTGTTTACACTTCTCAATCATAACGTTCGATCAGGATATATACGACAAGCGAGAAAGATTGAAAAATATACTTCTTTTCTACTTCCATTCATTGTTTACTTGAAAATTTCTCAATCAATTTGCGATTTTGCTACGAAAAACCGAGCTTTTTGCTACAGGTTCGCCGTGGATGATACTGAACCGCAACTTCGTGGAGCATTGTGTAACGGATGGGACAATTTTCCCCGAAAAAATTGCTAATGTACTTGAGCAATGTGGCATTTCCACTAGAATCCTACTCCCAAACGGTCCTATGCAACACGCCGGAGTTCCATAACACAACAATTTGAGGTACATCGTAATCCAAAACGAAACCTTCAACCTAACAATGACAAAAATATCAAATCGTGACAATGGGATCGTGCGAGGAAAATGGTGCGAGAAAAGGAGAATAACGAACGAGGCCGAACCAAGTTTGATGAATCGTACTATTGCAAGTGAAAACTTGTACTCGTCATCTAAGGGAGATGTTGATAGTCTGGAGTCGGGGGTTTTGGGGGCTTTGCTTCGTACGTATTTGTCGAGTGTAGTTAAAGAGAATGAGTTGGCGAGCGGTTTGTGCCGAAGCCATGTTATTCGAAATGTAAGGAAGAAGAAGTAATTGGTGAGATTGTTGTCTGGTTAGATTTAGTTTGTGAAGAGTGTATAGAGTGTTGTCAAATTAAACTCGGCTCGGCTCGAGTTCGGCAATCAAACGAGCCAAGCTCAAGCTCATTTAAAGCTCGTTTGATTAACGAGTTGAGCTCGCTTGACTCGTTAAGGCTCAAAGAGAGAATTTAGTTTGTGAAGAGTGTATATGCAAAAAACTTGTGCCATTAGAGAAAGTGAATTGTTTGAAACAAATTGAAGCAGGGGATGACTCTGATTGTAAAGAAACTACTTGATTTCCAACTAGTGAACTAAGGTGAATTTCCCTCGATTCATGAACAAATTTGTGTGGCAACAAGTGTTTTCACTCACTTAGTTTGATTAGTTTGATTAGGTGTCTTGAATAAACATTTTTTAACAATTAAATACTAGTATAATTTTATTAAAATGTGTTATTTTTATAAAACAAGAAAGATGATGCGGTTGCGGAACCATTCCGAAGGGGTATGTAACTGTTTTTTTTTTTTTTTTGGTATAAGGACTTTTCGGTTTCGAATCCACAGGGGAACCGACTAATCCAGAATCGAGCCGGGTAGGACCACAAGAGCGGCAAAGTTCTCCTTCAAGAGTTTTAACACTGCTGCATTCTCAGGGCTCGAACACGAGACTACTGGTTAAACACGAGACCACTGGTTAAACTGGAAGAAACCCAAGCCATCTTATCCAAGCGCTCTTGGATTTGTAACTGTTAGATCAACTATCTTTGGAGGTTAAAATGGTTCAAATAACACGAGACAGATTGTGAGATTATCTAATTGTATAATTATTAAGCTGATGCACACAATAATTTACTACTTACATTTACTAACCTTTGAAAACTGTACAAAATAAAATGGATTTATATGGGAAGGAAAATAAGAAGATCGGGATAAAAAGAATTTCATTTACTTGAGAAAATTAAAATATAAAATAAAAAAAATTGAGCGATAGCTCAGCGGCTAGTATGACCCTAGCCGGCACGCCGAGAACCTCCTCGAGCCGTTTCAGCGCCTGCCACGTCGCCTTCGACTTGTCTCCTCCGAGCCTCAAGCAGATCCACATGGAAGCCGCTAGGCACACGCGCAGCGGCACCGCCACCGCCCAGCTCACGGAACAAGCCCTCGCAAGCCACTCGCACCGCCGCGCCGCCGCCGGCGACCCCGATTCTGCCGCGCCACCCGGCGAAAACCCCCTCCGCGCCAGTGTGATCCGCCCCCCGCCGGCGCTCCACGTCCACCGGAATATTCTCTCGCCGGTGAGGTGGTGCTCGAGATGCAGTCGGAGGAGTAGCCGGAGGAGACGGAGCCGCCGTCTTCGGAGGCCGGGGAGCACGACGGGAAGGTGGCGCGGGGAGAACGGAGTCCGGCGCCGGAGAATTCAACTCCGATCGGATTTCTGCAGCTGGGGCAGACCGGGCGGCGGAGGTGGCGGGCGACGAGGAAATTGGCGCCGTGGACCTCGGCGTCGCACGTCCGGCAGAGAAACGCGGCGTCTGAAGGGCAGTAGACGGCGGCGGCCGCGCTGCACAGCTCGCAATGCCTCAATTTCATCGTCCAGTTTAATTTTTTTTTTACTCGAAAAAGGGGGAAATCTGAATGTTAATGATTGTGTGCTAGTGCGTGAGAGGAGATAATGGAAGAGCGTAGGAAGAAAAAATAGAGATAGAGCCACTTTTGTAAAATGCATTGAAAAATGTCGCACACTTTTATATACACCTTGCCATATATTAGTAAATTACATATGCAAGGACTATAGATGAGGCAAGCCGAACTCGAGCCTTTAATAAATTAAAAATTAAATCCAAACTTAACTTGTTTAACAACATTAACGAGTGCAGCTCTGAGTTGAATTTGAGCTTTAACGAGTCGAATTATGAAATATAAAAAACAATCATCGAGTCTTATCGAGCTGAGCCGATTTTGACTCGTTAACTAAACGAACTTTAGCGAGTCGAGCTCACAAACAGCTCGTTTTGTTTAACAGCTCTAATTATGCATCCACAGTTATTATTGTTTTAGTCATGGTTAAACGAAGTGAGTGACTCGTAAACTCAACTCGACTCATTGATACCCGAGTTTGGCTCAGCTCGTTTATCAAATGAGTCAAGCTCAAACTCGTCGAAAGTCCGTTTAAGTTCACGAGCTTGGCTCAATTCAACTTGTTAATTCTCGAACTCG